AGAATGTTTATTTTGCAAAATACTGTACTTTTAATTTTAGACACCAAGCCTCAGCATTAAATATTCTAGAGTCAAAAAAAATGGTTAGATGCAAAATGATCCCCGTTTCCTAAGATGAGGGCCAAACCTAGGTTAGCAGGTCCCACATGATTATTATTTACATTTTTCTATCATTTACACTTTAGCCTCTCACTACAGAATTGCTGTTTACTGCAGGATTAGTTGATGCTGCCATATCAACCAGAAATTGTATTCACACCACTCAAACTCATTTCACAGAATTTATATTTATCCTGTAAATCAAGGCTGTATTCAAACATATACAAAGAATGAACGATCACGTGTCTTGAAGATGTGTGTATCCATGGAGTAATTTGCACACTAACTGCAATAGCTTACAGTATTATAACTATGCAAAATTATGGGCATTTAAAAATAAAATGATGTTATTTGTGTTAGCTTTTCAAAGGACATCTGTAGCTGCATCACATCCTCCACCAATCAAACATATTATTGCAGAGCGGTGTATGGACGTGACAATTTTAGAGCATTAAAATATTTTCCTTTAGTCAAGTTTTATATTGAAAAAAGCCCTTGTATAAATATTTACTATGCATTGCCCATGGTACTCAGAATTATCTCAGTACTGTTATAATTTAAGTGCCAGATTTGACATCAAACTACAAGACAACATTCTCATTATACTGAGCTGTAATTTTAGTTTTAGAATGTTATGATCTGAGAGGTTATAAATAAGTAAAATTATTTGGTTTTAAAGTTTATTTTGAATAGTGTGTAAGTTTATACAAATACACACACAATCAGACAAGGTATAAGATATCTTACATTAGTCACCTCTCAATGCCCTGTCCCATGAACATTAAACCTGTAAGAGATTTGGGGTAGATTTCCTATGTGTAATACAACTACAATACTGTTATTCCTAAAGATGTTAACTACTTTGCCATACATAGCAAAGAGAAAATTCATCTTAACCTTTACTTTACAAATAATCAATTGGTTTAGTCACTGTTCTCAATTTTTTTTATTAATTTGTGAGATGTGAGTGTCACTAACTGGCCAGCATTTATTGCCTATTCCTCCTTGAGAGGTGGTGGTGAGCTGCCTTCCTGAAATGCTGCAGTCGATCTGATGTGGATTGATGCACAATGCCATTACAGAGGGAATTCTAGGATTTTGGCCCAGTGACTGTGAAGGAACAGTGATATATTTCCAGGTCAGGATTATGGGTGGCTTGGAAGAGAGCTTGACAGTGGTGCTGTTCTCATGCTTCTGCTACCCTTGTCCTTCCAGATGGAAGTGGTCATGGGTTCGGAAGGTGCTTTCTGAGTTTCACAGTGGTTTGGGCTATGTGCAGGTAATTGGTTACATATGCTCGAGACGGCTCTGTGTTGAGAATACAAATCCAGTCAGCTGAGCTTGCTTAACTTATACCATTCAGTTTGCTGTGGTACCCTTCCTACACTTGTTTCAATGTACAAAATATCTGAAATTAGAAATTCAACTATGAGGTGTCCATATCTCAAACAACAAATCCTATTACTAGACCAAAGAATGAGTTTCAGCCTACCTTGTCTTAGCCACTATTATTCCTTATTAAGCAAAGCTTTACATATTTTGACAAATTTCCTTCTATCAAATATAGACAAAGAAAAGAAATTCTAATCAATTGTATATGGAATAGTTACTGCTATATTTGATGTATTTATAAGTTAATGAAAGATATTCATTGTTTAACCCTTAGCTAGTCTAGATTCTACCTAGCTCATTAATGGTTTAAGTGAGATAACTCAGCTAATTGTTTGAGTTTGCTGGGGATATTAAATTGCTAACTAGCCATTTGTGTATTGATAATTGTAGTTAAAGATGAAGAGTATTTTTTTCCCACAAGAAGCGGTTGCATGCTACAGTGTATTCTTTAATCATGCCTTAGCTCTCTATTCCAGTGCAGCAATGCTGAAATGTTCATCATTTGTGTAATTATAATGCATTCTCCAAAAAAAAGATGTATTTCAAAGTTAGATATACTTTTGACAATGCTTAATTTAAAAAAAAATCAAGACTGAGATCTTTATCCTTAATAATTATTTCAGTTATATTGTTTATCTCTATCTGCTTCTGATACAGAATTTCCATTTGCTACATGACAGGCTCCTTCTGCATTTCAAAACATCATTTTATGTGACATATAATTTTATTATGAAGAGTTCCAACTGTGTCTTTTTTGAGCAAATGTAATTTTAACAACACTCATTTATTCAACATTCTTGTACTTCTTCAATACTACCCTTAGTTGTCCCACAGACTGATTCACTCCAGAGGTGTACAACATAGTAGGTTAACTTTAAATTTTGATTCAGAGATATTTAGTGCAAATGAATGAAAAGCAATGTCATGATAAATTAGCCTTGCCACATATGTCATTTAAACAGCTTGCTATCAAAAATTACATACATTGGATATTTAACAATTATAACTTTTCAGTGACCTTTGTAAAATATTCTTATCACTGCAATATTTTAAACACGCTGGCTCAACTGAAATTTAACTAGGGCCTGAACTTGCATTCAAAATACATCAATGCTCTCTATCTCCCTCTCTCTTTCACAGTACAAAACCCCTAACATTTTAAAATGTTCCTTACAATCCTTGTTACCAAAATGGCAGCAAATGGTGTTCTTGGGCATTAGAACAAAAGCAAGTATAACATATAGATTAAACATTCCAAACCTATGCTAAAAGACACACTTTTAAAACAAAAGCTATCTTGAACACCCCTGAATAATTATCAGTTGCTCAATCACCCCTCCTTAGTTTTATGTATTGATTTGTTTGTTAACTTTCGCAGATAGATTCGAGTGAGAACAAGATGTATTGGTTGATCAGGGACAAGTCTGAGCCTTAAAATGATGATCAACTGAAATCTACACAAATAATGTATAAAAGTATAGTTGAAAATAACATTTGTGAATTAATGAAAGCAAAATCAATAACCAGTTTGGAACTTGTATATGACTGAACACAGTATTTGTTGTTAGCATAATTCACACATGATCTCCTCTAGGAGAGCTCTCTGAATGAAAGAAGGAATATGGATGGCAGCCTGAAGAACAATTTGTTCTAAATTGGATGAGTTATGATTTATTAATAGAAAGTATCATGAGCTAAAGGGGAGAAAACATGCCCAATAAATTCCTATTTCAGTGCAAAGACACTGTGCAAGACATTGTGTCCAGGTGTGTGAAACGTTTTAATAATGTTCTCAGCTGGAAACAAGCATTGCAAGAAGGATGATCTAATATATATTACTGGACCCAAAGAAAGCGAAGGTCACAGATAGTTTACAGAAAATATCCGAAGCTTTTTTTTTCCTCTGCTGAGAACATAAAATACGAGATGAATGGCCCAGGTTGTACAAATTGTCAATTCATTTGTGAGTATCACCCATGAATCAATGGTTTAGCTTTTACAAAACTTTGGCGTTTGGAGAGTAAACCATCAAAATGATTGCAATTGAAATATTACAGGGAGTTGGTAATGTTGCATGGCTTGAAATGATTAATTGTGAAACTACCCATAAACAATTCAATTTTTCCCTGTTACAAAATCTTAGGCAAATAAATGTGCATATCAATGGATATGGAACTACTAAGAATTGCAGCAAGGGTGAACAAAAATGTTTATTCAGATGAATATGAAGGTATATGTCTTATGTTATATCCAAAGTGTAAAGATTACAGGCAAAGAACAGTTGCAGAGCTCTTTTTACTTATGGAGATGTGTTCATCTTTCGAGAGAGCTCTATTTTTAAAAAAAATCTGGTATATTTCAACCAGAATTAGTGAGGCTTGGATGGTTTGTGTTTTGTTTGATGCGATGATGTGAATTTGGGAGACCGCTGAAGCGTGATGTAGAATCTTCCAGGAGGTCACCTCACACCAGTTTGAGGTGCGGAGTAACGTTGATGCAGGAACTGATGAGGGTCTCCTGTCCCCGTTGGGCTGGAAGCCGCAATTTTCCTGAACTAAGCCTATCACGGTGCTAACAAAAAGCACCGGAACAAGAGACAAACACGCGCCTTGCCCATTCCTAAACCCCAAATTGTGGCAATTAAAAACGTCTCGATTCTTTGGAAGATGAGACAACCGGGGGAACACAACCTCAAGAGCCCAACGCCTCCCAAGGACATGAGACAGAATCGACGCTCAGATCCAACCCATGAAAAGATAAATCCGTAGCGGTGACCCAATATACCCAGCACTGCTTAACATCAAAGGAATAAAGGAAAACACCCTTTCTCCAAACGTTTCATGAGTAAAATTGTGTTGGTTAAGCACGATTTTAATTGTTCAACCTGAAGGTCCGGGTTTAAGTCCCACCTATCCCAGCAGGTTAATTCGCACCCTACCCACCTCCCCACCACCACCACACACACACACACACACAACAGACCCACTAACATGTACACTCTTCAAAAGGAATACGCTGCCTGCACCGTTGTTTGTACGTGTGGTTTATGGCACCAATTATGAGCTGCCCAAGAAGTTCTGTCAGTAATGTACCTGTCCCTGGGATCACCTGCACGATCTGCTAACTTCGCACAAACGTGAGCACCGTACTTTGAAATAGAGGACAAATCCCCTTCACTGCAGCTCTGCGGCGTCTCTCAGAGACCATAGCCACATTCACACTTACACTTATACACACACACACCACCTCCAAATCTAGGGACTGGCTTCAGTTGTCTACATCAATGGGTCTGTCCGGATTTTTGGCTGCTGTGTTTTTCTTAAAGATTGCTTACTAAATAACCACTTGAATTTCCGCATTGGGGGAAAGCAGCAGCAGCGGGTTGCTGTTAATCGACCTTCAATATTACAAGTTGCAGCTGACTCAATTGGTGCCGACTTTGAGTGCTACTGTCACAGATGTGTCTCTCTCTATCGTGTTTATTACCGGAGGGTTCGTGCAACACTCACCGAAAGTCACTGTAAGGGTGGATAATCCAGGCTCCGGCCGATTTGACTCTCTCCTGCTCCCTTTCCACAGCCTTTTGGCTGCCGAACATCCGCAGGGAAAACTTGTTAACTCCCGGCTGCAGCATAGACCCGAACTGGCGCTGCATGAAGCTGGCCTGACTGCCGTTCTGCTCGGAATCCTCGGGGAAGATCTGCTCGGCCCCTTCGGACTTGTGCAGGCTCACGGAGTTCCTGCCGCGCTGCTGGAACTGCGAGCATGTTCTGCTGGGCGGCTCCGCCGAGAAAGCCACTTTGTTCTCCCTCTTGTCCTCGCTGCGGGAGACACCCCCTCCCTCTATCGCGTCTTTCTTCTCCTCACTCTCATCCGTCCGGTTGATGGACGATTGGCTTCCCTGGGTCACCCTGCAATCCCCGTTCGTGTTGCACTTCATGCCCACCGCTGTCTCTACCTCGCCCTGGTTCGATTCCCCCGGCTGCTTGTCCGTATTGAGGTAGCCTCGGCCGGCTCCCCCTCCTGGGGGAGACGGGATCGCTTTCATTCTGATGCTTTTGCTGCGCGTATCCTCCTCGTTCTCGTCGTCTTCGTCCATGATGGGACCTGTCTAATGGGGAAGGCTGCACCACCTTCTCCGCTCACTAGGACGCAGTTTTGCTCAGATGCTGTGAGAGGTATGCTTTGACGTGGCCTGAGCTTCGCCTACGTGACATTTTTACTCAAACGGCGCAGGGAGCCAGAGAGATGTCCTAGTCCTTGCTTCTGGAGGTTAACCGAGCCGCCAAGCTGCATTTGAAGAGGGAGAACCCAACCCCTTTTTTTTCCCCCGACCTGAAGATGTTCATTTAAACCTCTTGTAAGGCAGAGACGCAACTCATTGTTTTAGGCAGCGATCTCCTTGCAAATGATGCCCAATTAGAGTGAACCCCCGGAGTACTTTTACCAGGGAGTATTTAAGCTTGCCCTGGGGTAGAGGGAAGAATTTAAACGAAAAATTATATATTTCTGGCGCCCTCATGTGTATGTTTGACATTTTTCTTTTTAGGAAAAATCATTTAGAGGACAAAGGAAATGACAAGTAATACGTGGATATTTCTTAAAGATGTATGGGATTAGACCCCAAACCCAGTTCCTCATTTGGGTAAGGAAACGGACACTTCACAAAAATAAACATGACCAGTCGGAACCCAGCTACTGTACAGACTGCCAAAACGGTGCACCCTCATGGTATATTAGGATTACTGCAGTTTTTAAGCACACACACACACACACACACACGCATGCATGCACAAAGGGGAAAATATTTCAATTGGAAAGCAGCGTTTCTTTGGTTCAAAAAAAAACAGAAATGCTGTGGTTGTATCGATAAGTGAAGGATTAATTGGGGGAAACTGAACGTCCAGATCATACCCTATAAGGTCACAAAATGGCCTCTGCGCAACAAGTAGAACACTGCTGGGTGAATAGAGATCTTTCTGTGCCCACTTGAAAAAGTAAACTCGTTTCTGAAATAGTCCAACATTGTGCTTTAAAAGTTTATATAATGTTATACTTATGTTGACATTATATAAGTTGTTGCAGTCCTTTCCACACACGTCTTAGCTTCATTTTGCGCGTGGAGACGGTGTCTCGGTTGATGTACACTGCAGCAAGAGTCCAACAGCATAAGGTGACAGGAGCACTGGCTTTTCACAGAAGGAGGCTAATATGTTACTTATTACTTTAAGAATTCTATACCTTATAAATTACTGTATCAAGTTTTTTTATTATTATTATTCATTGAATGTGGGCATCACCCCACATTTATTGCCATCCTTGTTACACAGAGGTCTGTTAAATGCCAACCACATTGCTGTGGGTCTGGGATCACATATCGGCCAGACCAGATAAGGATGGCAGATTTCCTTCCCTAAAGGACATTAATGAAACAGAGGTGTTTAATTGATAGTGGGTACATGATCACCATTGTTATCTTTTTAATTCCAAGTTTTTATTTTGAATTCAAATGTCACCAAGTGCCATTGGTAGGATTCAAACCCACATCACCAAAACATTAACTGCGGTTCCAGATTATTGGTCCAGCAACATGACCACTACATCACTGCTCCTCATAGAGGAGGTCTTATTATTGCTCTAAAAACAAAAATTCCTGGAAAAGCTCAGCAGGTCTGGCAACATCGGTGAAGAGAAATTAGAGTTAACATTTTGGGTTGAGTCACTCAACAGATGTTGCCGGACCTGCTGAGCTTTTCCAGCAATTTCTGTTTTTGTTTCTCATTTAGAGCATCTGCTGTTCTTTCAGTTTTTGTTTATTATTGTTGCTGCAGGTTACAGCCCTATCCCTGGAATGCTAAAATAAATCCTAAATGCAGTATCCATTGTCTTCTCTTTGTTCATTATTGAGGCGTTCTTAGTTCTCATTTCATTATGGTCAAATCCTACCTACAATTCATATTAGATATACACAGAATGCATTTTACATTTCCATATTGACTCAGGCAAATCTACAGTGTCAATGTTCTGCTTGAAATATGAGGAATAGAATCAATCCTAATAACCAAGGAGTTCAATTCACTATATATAACAAATTTGATTTTGGAGAATAATCATATTTCGGGATTTTTTTTCAACAGAAGTCAAATCAAAATATAGATTATATTTATGAAGCTTCCAAATCCACAACTCATAGCACCTAGAAACCCAAGGGCACCAAATGCATGCGTACGCCACCACCTTCAAATTCCCCTTCAAGCTATACACCATCTTAACTTGGAAATATATCATTGCTCCTTCACTGTTGCTAGGTTAAAGTCCTGGAACTTGCTAACAACAGAGTATCTCTACACCCCAAGGACTGCAGCAGTTCAAGATGGTAGCTCATTAGCAACTTCTCCAGGCAATTAGTGTTAGTCTACCTATATCCCAATAATGACTAAATCAAACATACTTGAAAATTTTCCTGTAATTATGTAAATTATGCAATATTTTATCAAGTTTGCATTAGACCAGGAAATGTTATACTTGTCACATTATCCAACGCATCTGTCACTAAAATAGAAATTTTATCCTTACTTTAACTGTACAAATTGAGAATGTAAGAATCTAAGTTTACTTAAAAAGATAACATAGTGTGGAGCTGGAGGAACACAGCAGGCCAAGTAGCATCAGAGGAGCAGGAATGTTGACATTTTGGGTCGGGACCCGAAACATCAACATTCCTGCTCCTGTGATGCTCCCTGGCCCGCTATGTTCCTCCAGCTCCAAACTGTGTTATCTTTGACTCCAGCATCTGTAGTTCTTACTATCTCTAAATTCATTTAAAAGATGTTTTTAAAGAATCCTTTTGTTATATGCTAATGTAGAACAAATTATATTCTGTGGATTCAAATAATATGCTTAATAATTATAGAAGAAAGTCAAATTAATGATTATTTCACAGCAGTATATTGTTTTGAGTTTTTACATTCATCAAGACCAATTACAATTCAAACAAAGACAAAGTCTACCTAAATGTCCAACACTGTTCGGGCTTGCAGTGTCAGTGAATTTCACTCATTGTTCTTTGTAACTTGAACATTGAGAAAAATTGCCTCCACCTCTACACTGGCCAACATCAGTAACTCATCTCAGACTAGGAATTATTTAGAAGCTGTCCTTGGATGACATCATTTGTGTTCATATGGTCAATGTATACTGTGAACACTTAGATTGAGTCTTCTGCCAACACCCTTGACACTTCAACCATTTGCATCCTATCTCTTGCTTAACTAACTTCGACTTCTGGATGAGTAACAATGTCCTTCTACCATCCTATTCAGCTCCCATCAAAAATTCAAGATCTCAGCGTATTTAGGCTGAGCTTTATGGAAGCAACTTTGAAGACCTGTATTTTGCTGAGCTGAGCTACAAGCTTAGCCACAAAACCCCTATGACTCGCCTTTAGAATTATCACTCACCCTCTACCCACTCACCAAATTATGAAACTTTATATTCAACGGTTTTTCCATTGAATCTTGTCAATATTTAGATTGGAACAATTTCTGTAATGCTCACTTTTTATTAAAAGGAATATTGGCTTACAATGAAAGGGGGCGATTTTTTGTTTCCTTATATATTTGATAAAAAAAAATTCTCATGAATGTTAAGTGCAATTGCAAAAAGAATTGCCAAGCATTTTTGTCATGAAGACAATTGCTCCTCCAATGCCTTAAGCAAAGCTGGATTTTAGATTTTTTCAGTTGTAAATGAATTAGATTAAAAACAACATATTGATCTGCATGTGAAAAGCTGAGTTCTTCATAACATCGCAGTTAATCTCAATAGTTTCCTTAACGTAGATAAAGATAGAGGTAACAAAATATTTGCAGTTCTTCTTTGCTATTGAAAATGTTAATTTCCTAATTCAGAGTAAATTAGTTTAATTATTTATGCCCAATGTCTAAATCAGTGAGGCTGACTGACAAAGGAAGTAAAGCAGCACTCTGTAGCTCTTCAATGGCCAATAGTAATGGATGTCATCAACCATGCTATGAAGCAGCACCTGCTCAGCAATTACCTGCTTAGTCACACCCAGTTATTCAAACATGGACGAAAAGAGTTGTATTCCAGAGGTAATATGAGGTAAGAGTGACAGCCCTTGATATCAAGGCTGCATTTGACTGAGTGTGGCATCAAGGATCACTAGCAAAATTGAAAAAAAAGGGTATCGGGGGCAAACCCTCTGCTGGTTGGAGTCATACCTGGCATATAGGGAGATGATCGTGATTGTTGGAGGTTGGTCATCTCAGCTTCAGGACATTTCTGCAGGAGTTCCTCAGGGTAGTGTCCTAGGCCCAAGCACCTTCAGCTGCTTCATCAATGACCTTCACTCCATCATAAGGTCAGAAGTGGGGATGTTCACTGATGCTTGCACAATGCTCAGCATCATTTGTGACTTCTCAGATCCTGAAGCAGTCCATGTTCAAATGCAACAAGTTCTGGACAATATTCAGGCTTTGGTTGACAAATAGCAAGTAACATTTGCACCACACAAATGCTAGGCATTGACTAACTCCAATCAGAAACAATCCAACCACCCCACTTGACATTTATTTTCTTCTCTTGTGGGACCTGGGCATCACTGGCTGACCAGGATTTATTGTCCGTCCCTAGTTGGCCTTGAGAAGGTGGTAATGAGCTGCTTTGTTGAACCGCTGCAGAAAACAGTCTAATGGTGTTACTATCACTGAATCCCTCATTATCAACATCCTGGGGGCTTGCCATTGACCAAAAACTTAACTGGACTCATCACATAAGCACAGTGGCTGCAATGTCAGGTCAGAGACTAGGAGTGCTGTGGTGAGTAACTCACCTCCTGACTCCCCAAAGCCTATCAGTCACCTAAAAGACAGAAGTCAGGAGTGTGATGGGATAGTCCTCATTTGCCTGGATGGGTGCAGCTCCAACAATCAAGAAACTTGACACCACCCAGGACAAAGTAACTTGCTTGGTTGGCACCACATCCATAAGCACATCCCTCCACCACTGACACTCTGTAGTAGCACTACAGAAATTCACCAAAGATCCTTAAACAGCACCTTCCAAACTCATCAGAGA